TATGGTCGCTGGGTACTCAACAGAGATTCTAACAAAATGGCAGCCGAATTCCAGAAATCATGATAGCGCTTTTAGGGAGACTGGAATTTTAAGAGCCAATGCCACAGTAGTGACAGTCCCTTGCTTACATGCCTCCTCGCCATGGTGATTATCCACAGTAGTATTTATCGACTATAACTCAAAGAAAAACCGGCGAGGGAAAGTGAACTTTGATGCACTGACAACTGCAGAAAAACGGGTGGTTAGTCTTTCCATGAATTGGCACCCAATACATCATGATAAGGAAATAAGTTCATATTACCTAACGTCCAATGAAATCGACAGCTTTTCTTTATAAAATGCACAAATCTCAAAAGCCTCTCAATTTCCAATAACTTCTCCACAGTGCCCGCAACAACTTATGCTTCTCTCTCACGCTCAATACAGTTAACCTTGAGTAACTTCGTTTACATGAATCAATTTTGGAGATATGATTGGTGGGACTGGTTGAGGCGCCAGTTACTATTTCTTCCACTTGTAGCCGTGCTTTGGTTCCCGCGGTTGTATTGTACTGCTCTCCCTCCGGATAATGACTTATCAAGTGAACGCAGACTCATTAAACGAAATACTTGAATGTTCGATATGTTGCGAACGGTAAAGCTCCCCGTCTGATTAGTATACTTTGCTTTATCCTGAATGAAAGAGGGTTGAAGTTTAAATTCCCTTTCAATGCTTAAAGAAATTTCCTTACTCATGTTAGGCCCAATTGTAAAGGTTGACTAAGGTTATATAATTAGTGAATGCAGTGTATTATCTGAGCATATTATTGGATTGTTTGGCAGCACCAGTCAGGTGCTGTCCTATATTCTTGCAATGACTTAATCAAAACTTCTGACTTGTGTATGTACTGGAGGATTTTGTGGCAGTGCCGGTGGTATATCGATGGATATGACTTCCCTTTTGCGGGAGCTACCCATGGACGTTTCGTTTCTATAATTGCCTGTTATAAATTTGCTGGTCTACGTTAGCTGCACCACCGCACTTTACGTGTATCGCACTGTTGACTAATTGTACGTCTATATCATTTACATTTGTGTTGCCTTTTGTACTTCTTTTCGTCTTCAGACCAAGTAGACCTGGTACAGGGTCCCTTGATTGGAGGGCTCTATATTAAATATGCACGATTAGTTGGTTGCCTTCGGACGTTTAGGCAACGTTTGAGTCGGTATTCGAAAACCCTCACGATAATCTACAGACCATTTTAAATATTCAAAGTACCTTACAATTTAATCCAACTGTCCTGTTTGTAATCTTTCCAGCGGACAGGTCGTAGAATCTAAATATGCCAATCTTGGACGGATATTTTTAACCCAGCCCATTGTTCTTTTGGGCGC